AGGAACAGTTTGCATCCTATTTTTTTGAGGAGAGTAGGGGGTAGGCGGCTTTAATGGGGGTAGGATAAATTTTTTGGAGGGTTATCTATTAAATTTGAGATGAAATAGGAAATTAATACTTTTATTATAGAACTATTATAATACAATTCATCGACCAAATCTATATATTGCAATACATTGTTTTCCAAATTCTACTATCCTTTTAAATTGATATTTTAGCAAGCTCATAATGCTATAATAATGAATTCATTGTAAATAATCGAGGTTTTAATTGAATTTATCTAAAAAATAAATCCTTTATATTTACAAAATAAATCCTTTGTATTTACAAAATAAATCCTTTGTATTTACAAAATAAATCCTTTGTATTTTGTCGGCGCTCAACACGCCACCGCCGATGTAAAAATTCGGCGGCGTGATACATATTTTTTATTATTAATTTATTTTATATGTTATTTATGAATTGTAATTAGAAGAAAAATATTAAATATTTTTTGAATTATTAAAAAATGCGATTTTAATTAATAAATATTATTTGCTATAGATTTCCATATCGCTCACTTTGGGCAGGTTTGTGACCAACTTGATAGATAAAATAAGATTAGGACATTAAATTTGAAAAGGTAATTCTATATTTTATTCTTTTAATTTTTGATGCTTCAAATAATTTACAACTCGTTATATAAAATTTATTTTTTATCATAATAGGAAATTTTAATTAATGATTTTTATTTTGTTGCCATTATAACATATATATAAAAAACCAGGACTTAAACAATTATAATGGATGCAGCATTGCAATACCCTGTAACAAAATATAGTATATCCTTGCAAGCAAAGCCTTCTTTTGCATGGAAACATTTTGGATCCTTAATATTAAAAACTGACCAAATAATAAGAGTACCAGTGTTACTACAGATAAAGTCTTTTGTAATATATGCTTGCAAATAGCACTTGATAAAGATGGTGAGGATGAAAATAATTATTCATTTTCAGAGTAAATTTTTTGATTATTTTAAAAATATTTGTTTTTTTAATTAGTTATCCAATCAAATCTTTTTCAAAAAATATCAGCACATCAAATATAATAAAACATTTACTTGACAAACATGATTTATCATGTAAAGAAGAAATACCTAAACAAAATTTAAAGTTATTTTTCAAACCCATAAGATACAACTGACCCTAAAATGGATTCTGGTAAAGAATTATGTTCGTGTTGCAAGGATTTAATGCCATTCTCTTTTATAAATAATATTGGAATGCAAGATTTTCTAAAGGTTATTTGTAAAATCACTATAATTTTTTATAGGGCAAGGGCAATCTTAATTTTTATTATAACTATTAATATATTAAATTATTTTATAACATCCCTCATTTAGAATTTTTTACGACATAATATTTTTATTATTAACTTTTTATTATATGGAAATATAGCATTATTTCAGATACCAAATTACCATATAGAACTACACTTAGCCGGAGTGGATTAGATGATGTGTATTTATCAATGAAAGCATACATATGCCAACATAATATAGGTCCTAAATTTTGTGCTATAGCTTTTGATACTTGGACCGACAAATATAGACGGCGAAATTATATCACCTTTACATTTCACGAAATAGATAATAATTTTAATATTATATTTTATACATTGGCGACACATCATGTCACTCAAAAACATACCGCTGAAACTATTTTTTCCGAGATATAAAAAGTTGAAAATGAATTTAATTTAGGGTCCAAGAAAATTCAAATGGTTACGGATGCAGGACCCAATATAAAGAAAAGTGTTCGTCTAGGAGAATATGACCATTTATGTTTGGGGCATGGATTACATAATCTAGTGACAGTCGATGGAATAAAAAAAAGTTAATAAAAATAGAAAATCTCATTAAAAAGTGAGAGAAATTATAGTTGCCTTAAGATTCAAAAAATGGATTTTGAAAATATAAACGATATAGAAAGAAAATGTTTTGAATCGATATCATATATATCGGATATTTTAGATTTGGATGATAATGATTCTTTTTATGAAGATCGTTTGCATTTTGTGATGATAGTGTAAATCAAAAATCATATGAGAAAAAACAAAAAACCTTAAAATTAAATGTGCCCGTTGGTATAGTTGGTGCATGAACTTTTAAATTTTCTTAAAACCTCCAAAAAAAACTGTTGAATTTTTATCTGGCCAAAAAGGAATAACTATAAATTTAGCCTTATTATTTCGTAGTGAAATTAATATGATAGTCCTCCCATAGCATCCCTTAAACAAAATAGCTTACTAAATTTGATCATAGATTTCCAATAACCGATCTTCAGGTACTATTTTAAAATACATAAATTATTTTTATATATTATTTCTCTTTCTTTTATTAATTTACTTAGGTGTTAGGAGCACTTTTGGATCCTCGTTTTCAATCAATAAACATAGTAAATGAATATTTAAAGGAAAAAATATTACTCCGGTTGAATTTTTATGTCAACACGCTACCTCTCTACGGCCTTACACGGACGAATTAAACGAATGTGAAACGACGGAAGTTGCTTCAAAACTCGATGATCTTAAGTCATTGGCTACGAAACATTCATCTATTCAAAACAATAGCCTGGAACAACAACACTATTTAACTAATTTAGAAAAAGAGTGTTATTCATTATTTTCGCCTGATAATTTGGAGATAAAAGATGTCTTAGATTTTTGGAAGATAAGAGCATGGGATCTTCTTAAACTCAATATTAGGTAGAAAGGTCATGTGCGTTCCAGCTACGAGCACACCCAGCGAGCGTGTATTTGCTGGGCTCACTCTGAACTCTAAAAGATCATTATTATGTCCTTTAAATCTTAATAAAATAATATTTATTCATGATAATTATAACTTAATAAAATCATTAAATTATAGTTATAAACATAATAAAGTATAAATTTTATTTTAAAAGTGTTTCCAATGAATTTATAAATTTAATTAAAAAAATTTAAGTTAGAAAAATATTTGTCGCCGCCGCGCCGCCGCCGATTTTTGTGGCGGCGTCTAAATCGATTCGCCGCCGCCAGCCGATCATTATAAACCTCTCAATTCCCTTTTATCCAAATTTTTTTAATTTTATGTTCTAATTTTACTATATTTTATTTACCACATGTTATCCAATTTATTTCAATATATTATAATAATTTGTGGATTAATCCACCATTTCTAGTATAATTTATTACTCTGGATATATACTTCTCATATTATTCTCCTTTGTTTCTCTTTTTCCATAATTTACTATATTTTTGAACTTAAAATATATTTGAACCTCAATTAACTCCAAAGATTTCCTTTCCTATATTTTCTCTTTATAAAGTTCAATATTTATAATCAAATTAATTCCTCTTTCATATAACTTCTAATTATTTATTTTTTTCAAATGCTTTAATATTTTTTCTCCTTATAGAATTAAACTTCTTTTTCCCAAATTTTATTAAAATCATATTTATATCCTATTCATTCCTTACTTCTCTCCTATTCATGTTTATACCAGCAAAATTACGAATCTAATAATTCATTTTTCTTATTCGTACGAATAATAAAATGATTATTCGATTCAATTAGAAAAATTTTATTTAACCATTTATTAAAAGAGATCGAATATTAAATTTATTTTGTAAAATTTAACTAAGGTAAATGACAAACATATTTTATTAGTAAGATAAAATAGAAGCCTACATATATAGTATATTTATATGAAAATCAATATAATATTCATATCATGTAGAAGACATATCTGACAACAACCTATTTTTTAAAAATAAATTTTTCCGGATTGTATCTTCTTTTCTAGACATTCTATATTTGGTAACCATATGTGCTTCAACAGAAAAGAGTCGCTCATATGGGGTTGAAGATCCTTGTAATGATCATTTGTCTCTCGCCATTTAAGATAAAACGGAAAAACGATCTCAGTCTAGTTTCCACCATTCTAGTGGGTTTTTATTTTACATGATTCTCACTTCATTTAAATATGTTTAAGCTTCAGAAATTGGAAAGACATTCTGTTTAAATATACGTCCGTATTTGATTCTATAAATTGTTGACTGATTGATACATCATCTTTTATTTTATAATCATCGAACATTTTCTAAAAATTATTTAATATAATTGTAACGCTGATATTATAAGACAGAGGTAGGCACTCAAAAAAATCCAATTTAAGTCTGAGATCTAATATAGCAGATATAAATGTTTCCAAATTCTAAAATAAGGTATGCAAAACTCACATCAAGAAATATTTTACAAATAAAGTGGTAAAAATTTTAGGCAAAAAGTCATCTTTATGATTTCTCTATCATCAAAAGAAGGAGAAATACCTTGTTCGTCTGTCATTCTTGACGGGATAGCTACTAGTTTTTTATAAGTGTATATGTGTTATAAATAGCATACAAAAATAAATACTTTCTTCGCCCATTATAAAACAATTTTCGGAAGTTAATTTTGTATTACGAAGTTATTTGAATAAAAAAGTCGTTAACAACAATTTGAGAAATATAAATATTTCTTAATTATTCCACTAGGAAATTTTATTAAATATTAATAATTTCTAATAATAATATATGATTATTTTCCACTATTTATTACATTTTCTTTAACATATATTTGATTCCAATATTTAAACATTTTCTTTATTAACCAACAAAACTAAAATATTCAAATCCAACAAAGTGAAAAAATTAATAACGAATGAATGTGATTAAATTGTTCGAAGGTTTTTCGTTTTTTCTTTTTATTATTATTCGCCCCTCTCATATATTCACATATATGACAAATATAATATCATTTGCCTTATTTTTTCTTACTCAAATAATATATATAAAATTAATTATTAATATTATACAATGACAATTTTTAACCTAAAAAAAATAAATAATGTATTACACAAAATGATATCGCTTTTACAATATGTCTTATTTATGTAAGCTAATTAAACTTTTACAATATCTTGATATATTAAGATGATTAGCGGGTTTTTCGGTGATTTCTAGTAATTGTTTGATGTCCAAATTATTTTTGCTTGTTGAAAGAGCATATATCTCAGCATCTTATTTCAAAATTATTTTTTAATAAAGAAAACTTAAATAATTTGTAATTAATATTTTTAGTATCAAATCGCAAGACAGATTCTTAATTTAAATAAAACATAGCCACAGCCTACATTGGAGTAGCAGGGCTTTCGCCTTGACAAATTTTTATGGGACTGTGCCCCCCCCCAAATAGATAAACTATTATGTCTCATCTAAAAATAAAACAAAGAATAAAAACATATTAATTAATATAATATTTCTATATTGCTATGCTCTTTATCCTTTCTCGCTTGGCCACCATTAAAAAATAGATAAATTATTATTAAAAACTTATGAAGATTCATCACATCGCTTATCTGTATATCTTTGCATGGAAAACTATAAAGGAACTAATACTCATAGAATAATTTTAAAAACTAAATTGCAATCCAATACAATAAAGCATCGCATTGATTAAAACAATATCATCTATTTATCGCAATACAAGGGTTGGCATTAAGATAGCAAAAAGAAGAAGACTCATATTTTATGAAATTATTGTGCCATAGAGCTGAAGATAAATTCGAATTAAAAGAATGATTGATTGCTGCAGTAAATGCAAGTGGATATCACATGATATAACTAATGAAATTCTCACCATAATGTCTCACCAGTTACAAAGGAGACTTGTGAAACTTATAAAATCTGCTGTATTTTAATCGATATCGTAGATTAAACCATGGATAGGAGTAATTTTCGATATGTTTACGTGATTCAGAAGTTAGTTTAAATCTAAATAAAATATATGTAGGATTTTATGAAGTATCGAAAACAAATTCTGAACATATTTTTAACTTAATCACATATATATTTACTTAAATATCTCTAGAGTCTAGACATTAAAAAAACAGAGTTCAATATTATGATGGAGTTTTTACCGTTAGTAAAAAGATAAATGGTTTACAAACGCGTCTTCATAATGAAAAATCTAGAGCAATCTATGTTCATTGTGCAGGTCATAGATTATATCTTGTGAAAAAATTCATTTATACTATTGCAAAAATTGGCCATTTTATAGTATTAATGAAAGATTTATTATATTTTGTTTGGCAATATCTCAAACTCTTCATTCCATCCAAGATGAAAATGATAGTACAACTTCTTTAAGGCCACCATTTAATTATGAAAATATATGTAAAAAAAAATTGTTTTAAACCTATTTTAAAGATTTGAAAGTTTTTCAAATGACAAATATGACAATTGTCACCAATACTTATTTTATTATTGAATTTGCACAATAAAATATTCATTTTTTCATTAAAAAACAGTAGAAAAGTTTTAAAATCTTGTATATGACAATTGACACTTTTCTGAATTACATTATTATTGAATTATAACTAAAAAATATTTAAAATATTTATTGTAATATATTTTTATTAATAAAAACTGGAAAAGTTTTATATTAACGATTTTGAAAATTGTCACCCTTCTGAATTACATTATTATTGAATTTCCAGTTAAACAGATTTAAAATATCCATTTATACCTAATTTAATTAAAAACATTGAAAAGGTTAAATGACAAATATGGCAATTGAGGTCTAAGTTTAGCTTTAGTCAATCAAAATTGATTTAAGCTTAGCTTTAACCATTCAAATTCGGGTTAAGGTTAGCATATCAAACTATTACCCAACTTTAGTTGGGATGAATAGAATTAGTGCTTTCACAAGTTTGGCAAACTTTATGTATTAAGCTGCATAACACCAGGGTTTAAAAAATTAAATGAGCTTGATTTTTTATAACCCAAAATTTTGAGCAAAAAATCCTTTGAAATTTTGAGAATTCTCAAAAAAGATATTTGAGCAAAATAAAAAATGTTTTTTGGTAAAAAAATCTTATTTGATTTTCCCTTTGATGTTTTTTTAAAAAAGAATAAAAAAAAATTCCTCAAATTTTTTTTAAAATAAAATAGCATGATCACAATTTTTGATCTTTAAAAGAGCAAGAATCATTGGATTCTTTAATTTTGAGCAGATGCTAAGTTCTGCTTAATACACGGTGGTATTTAAATACACTCAAAGATAATGTGCTAAAATGTTTAATAGATTTTCGTAAAAAAAGGAAAATTTTTAGGGGGTTTTTCAGTATATATTTTGGGAGATATTTCTAGGCCCCCTCTTTGAATACTTTTGACCGGATTACATTTCTCAATATAATTTTGGTTTTGCATTTTTTCAAAAAATATTTTTCTCTAAAATTTAATAGTCATTCTTAAAAGAATTATCAACTTATATTTATATTTTTTAAATATTTTTTATTTTTCTGATGGAGCTAACTGGTATGAAAACAATTTTTTTTATATACATTAGAACCATGAGAAATGACATATATTCTTTTTTTGAAGAGAATTTTCTTGTTCGATTAAAATGATATTTACGAAATTGACAAATTTGATTCCCTCGGTTATGCTAACGTCTTAATAAGTGATTCAAATTTATATTAAAATTTTGCAAATATAACTCTATTAAAAATATAATGAGATTTTAACTATTATAATTCTAAAAACAAAGAACAAATAATATGATGGATTTTTTGTGGACGAAACTGATCAAATAAATAACTTTTTTTTCCTTTTATCTCATTTATCAAACGGATTAAAGCATTAAAATGTTCTAATTAATGGCTTGACACAAGTTTCAGAATTAATATCCAGCTTGACCCACTTCACGCTTAAACCATGGCATCATAGTTTTTACTTTGTTTATCAGTGGTTTCTTTTTTGTGATTGGCAAAGCTGAGTATAATCAATCATTAAATATATGCACAAACATAATATTTAGTTTTCATATATTCGATAATATACTTGGCGAGGTCAAATATGCGTCGAGATAATTCAGTGCAGCGACAATTTGGTAAAATAAGAATGATAAAATATAACCTAAATGGGTGTACTCCGCTATAATTGGCACGGTCCGATGTCACGTCAAATAAACGGGGAAAATTTGGGATGGTCAATTCAGTGCACAATGCATAATTCATGCATATTTGGTGTGAATAAATAAAAAAATCCATAATCTTTATACTGGATTTATAATATATATAAAAAAATTCATCGATCACCTCTATGGCAGGGTAATTTCGAAATTTGTATTTATTTACCAAAATCAGGGTTGTGCAATTGACCGATGGTAAAATGTGGCAAATATTGTCAAATTAAATAAAATTTTTTTAAGACATTAACTATTTTATATATAATAGTAAAAATGAATCTATGTAATATTAAATTATATTTTTTAAAATTCTATAATTAATAGTTGGCTCTCTATGGCAGAGTCTTGTTCTAATTTATATTCAATATTATCACTTTCTTTAATATTATTAAACAATTTTAGGCTAGGATATATTCTTACCAATATTCTGGTTGTCGAGATCTTCAATGGATTTCTTTTCTTCATATGAATATTACCCCAAACAGACAAATTTCTTTCTAAATAGAAGTATGTATAACTAGGAATTGTTAGTAAGATATTAGACACTTGTATCAATGTTCAAAGTTTGTAAAGCCCGTTCAAACAACTTAAACCCAAATCTGATTGTTTTTTATGCAAGTTAGTGCTTTCCACATATTTTTGTTATTAAATATACCCCCACTTTTTACTTCTTAAATTTATATATCACTAAAATATTTATATTATCACTTTGTAAAATGGATAATTCTTGTACTATATCACATTTTTCTCAAACTCAGTACTAGTAAGATGCTTCCCTTATAATGGGGATCCAATAATCAGCGTTAGCACATGAATTTGAATTGTTTTTTTCTTTTTCAAACGTATCTTAATTTTTTTCTTAAGGTGGATAAAATCATGGCATGATTGTATTATATGTTTTCCAAATAAAGCATCTCGTTTTTTACATGAGCCAAGGCACATTTATCCCTTTGCATTTACAACAAGATAGCTAAATGTTAAAGAGTAGTTTAAGATTATAAATTTTTCCTATATATTTCTTATAATTTAATATATTTTGGGTAATTTCTTCAGGACGAATATTACTTCAGAAGCTACTTTCAGAGCTTTCTGCAGATTTATATTTGCTCCTTGCATTTTATTGACGAAGCCCGTCTTGTTTGGGTAATTGTACATAATTTAATATAAATTGGCAATTAGTAATTTTCTCAAACCATGCTTTAGCAAAATTTTTTACATTTATTTATATATTGAGATCCTCATCAAATTAATAATGAGAAAATTTCCTTTTTATATTTAAAAATTAAATTCTAATATTTTAATAGTAAAATCTTATATTATAATTTAAATTATCCATGATGATACAAATATATTTTTTAAATAAATTGTAAACTAATTAGATTGATAATGCTTTAAATACATATTAGTTAATTAAATCACTATATTCATTTACCAATAACATTTTAGAGTATTTGACCTTATTTGTCCAGATCAAATACCTCTTCGGTCAGGCCGGTCAATTGACAGAATTTGACTAGTCATTTAACCTAACGTATTTAATTATTATGTTTGAATTAAATATGAACATTATCGTTACTATTTTTATTATTTATATTAAAAATCAACATCATGAATTTTGGCTATATAAGAAGCTTTAAATTACAATAAAAATAAACTAATTTCAAATACTGTTTTAATTCAATTACTATTACAATTAAATTTAATTTCAGTTTAAAGCTGGAAAGAAGAGATGAGTTTTAAACAATTATCTATATAACTTACGCTGTTGAGTTCGAATAACTTCCGCTATTTTATTAGGTTTGATGGGTCGAGAAAGACCATTTGTTAAAACGATCATAATCTTTTTGGCATCTATCCTTCCTCCATTAGCCAACATTAGCCTACCTTTGTTCATTCCCCTTTCCAATCGAATTTCCAAATTTTCTGTGAGCCAAAGTCAAAATATAATAAAGTAAAAAATTATCATCAATTTTGTAATATTTGCAACTGTAATTTAAAAGACTTATTTATTCGTAAAAGGTATACTATATATTATATTATAGTTAACACTGAGCCACCCTTTTTTCCTATGCATTAAATTTTAAATTAAAATTTTAAAAAGTTTTAGACGAACTAATAAATTATTATTACCAGAGTTGGGCAGTATTGCGAACACTAGATCAATGATACAAGATGTATCTTGTATATTGACATTTTTAATAGGATTATCTGTATCTAAGTTACCTTATTTTCTAAAGAATCTTGTATCTTTTTCTAAAAAAATTATAAACGATATGGTATTTGGATAGTTCCTAAGGAGCAGTAAATCAGATAATTTGAAGATTTAATTAGAATTTATCTTTCAGCTGGCTGAAATAAATCAAAATAAATATATTTCTTTATGTACTTTTGTTAGTTAATTTATACATTTTTCCATACCCTATTTACTGTTGGGTCACACAAATTATTTTTTAGCTGTTGGGTGGAAAAGCGATGTTATTAATTTTTATTAAGCATGGGTTTTTAATTTTGACCTTATCGATTTTATAGTTTATTGTGTAGATGGAATAAATAAACTTTTTCATAGATGGAATTGTTTTCGAGGAACAGATTTTCATTTTGGGCTTGTTGAGAGTAAGTCTTATATTTTTATTTGTTTCAAGGAAATTTAAAAATTTTATTATTTTTAGAAGGGAACCACAGAATGTTCCATAAAATAATTATGATTTTAAATCTTTATCTTTTAAAATTTTATCAGGCTAAAAAGAAGACGTTCAAAATTTTATCAGGCATTGAACAAATAGTAATATTAATTTGTAATGTAATATTGTAGTAAATTATCGAATTCTTTTAATCTCTTATTTCGTATACAAAATCATCATCATCTTTTATTATTCAAATTAATCTTAAATTATATAATAATAATAAAATAAACATTTTACAAAAAATAACAAAAACAACAATTTAATACACATCATTTATCCCCAGTCGATCTGGTTTCGATCATATCCTTTTGGGATATCGATCTTGACTTGTTTCTTCCTCCCTTTCCTTTGAATTCATTTCATCGTTATTTTTTATTACATCCTCTTTGTTTACTATCTCTTCGGTTTTCTCTTCTACTTCAGTACCCTCTTCTAATTCGTATTCTTCAATTAATATATTTTCGGTTCTTTTCCTTAATTGGTCCGTATGACTTATAATCGTATTACCCGCTATACTTACTTCATAACGTTGTGATCCGAGTATGCCTTTAATAATGGCTTCTTCCCATTTTTTTTCTTTATTATAGTAAAGGCGCGACCAAAATTTTTCATTTATCTGGAATTTTTTATTGTGGTATTCTAACTTCTCCTTTTTGTACCCCCGTTCGAATATTTGATCTAACAATCCTCTAGGTTTAAATTTTAGTAGTATTTCAGCGGGACTTTGTTCAGTTTCTGTCCCTGGTGTATTTCTGTAATTGTAGAGAAAAATAGCTAGACTGGTTTCTAAATCCCTCTCGTTTCTTTTATTCATACTCTGTTTAAAAGTTCGAATTAAACGTTCGGCCATGCCGTTTGTCTGAGGATTAAAGACTTCCGGGCATTAATTGAATCCCGTTTTTTTCACAAAAATTATTGAAATCTTTGCTGCTGAATTGGTGCCCGTTATCAGAAACGATTATCTTGGGAAATCCGAATCTTGCAAAAATATTTCTTAATATTTTTATCGTGATTTCGGTGTAGTGCTAATGGGAACTATTTCTGGCCAGCGACTGCTAGCATCTATCACTACCAACCAATAATGATTTTGAAATGGTCCAGCATAATCAATATGTACTCGATGCATGCTTTTGGTGGTTTTGGCCAATTTTGAACTGCTGTCTTTTGAGGCATATCGTGTTGTTCCTGGCATTCACTACATTTTTCGACCCATGTTTCTATATCTTGGTTTATATTAAGCTACCACGCATATTGTCGTGCTCTCATCTTTATTTTTACCATTCCGATATGTCCTTGATGTATCATGTCCAACAACACGGTGTTTCGGTATTGTTGTGGCATTATCATTCTAGTCCTCCATAATAAACCTCTCTCTGTTGTAATTTCCTCTCTCCTTTGGCTATACTCCCTAAAACATGCATCATAGTTTATTGGCCATCCATCTATATTGTTTCTCTTTCAATTTCGCTTGCATTTAAAGGTGTTTCTCCCACCTGTATTTGATCTAGCGTTTCTTCTTTTGATATTGGAGTTCCCTTTATGGGTAATCTAGATAGCATGTCAGCATTTGCTATACTTTTGACTTCTATTTCATATTGGTAACCTGCTAATAATAATGTCCATCTTTGTATTCTGGCAGTAGATGTTGGTATATCTTTTCTTAGATGAAATAAACTCATTAATGGCTTGTGGTTTGTTTGTAATGTGAACTTTTTCCCATATATAAATTCGAATTTTGTAACCCTAAATATGATGGCCAGAGCTTCTCTTTCTATTTGGCTATAATTTTTTCAGCTGCATTTAGCGTTCTTGAGGCGAATGCAATTGGTCTCTCCTTATCCCCTTCTATATGGGATATTACTGCCCTAATTCCTATGGCTGATGCATCTGTTGCTAATATAATTGGTAATTTTGGATGATAATGTTGTAATACTTATTTCTTGCTTTATTTTTTATACGCGTCTTTGCATTCATTAGTCCATCTTAAACAACTACTTTTTCTAAATAATGGTTTGGCTTTGGCTGCAAAATTTGAAATAAATTTTGAATAGTATGTTGCTGGACTGTAATTGTTTCAAATTTGTTGGTTCTGGTGCATTTTTTACTGTCTCAGTATTTTTTACGGTAGTTGTAATTCCGTTTTTTGAAATATTGTATCCTAAGTATTCGACATTTTGTTTGAAGAATTTACATTTTTCTATTTTTAGTTTGATTCCATTTTCATCTAGACATTTTAGTACCTTTTTTAAATTTGTTTCGTGTTTCTCTCTATTTTTCCTGGTTATTATAATATCATCTAAATAACAAGCTACTCCTTCAAAACCTTTTAATAAATTCTCGATGGCTCGTTGAAATATTTTGCTGAAGAAGACGATATACCAAAAGGTAAATTTGTATATTTAAATAATCCTCTATGCGTATTGATTACAAGATATTTTTGAGACTCTTCCCCCACTTTAATTTGAAAATAGGCATCTGAGAGATCCAATATTGAAAATTCCTCTCCTTTTCCCAAATAGGCTAATAAATCTTGGATTCAAGGTATTGGATATGAATCAATATTAATATTTTGATTTATAGTTCTTTTAAAATCCCCGCTAATTCTTAATGTTTTATCTTTCTTTTGTACAATTACTATGGGTGATGCATAAAGTGAATAATTAATTTTCTCTGTTACTCCTATTTTTTGCAATCTATCTAAATCTTCTTCAACTTTATCTTTTAATGCTTATGGTACGGGACGTGATTTACAGAAAATTGGTTTCTCGTTTTTCATATATATTTGTGCCTTAAAATCTTTCAAGCAGCCTAATTCTTTGGTAAATAATTGAGGAAATTCATTTAGAATATTAATATTATTTATTTGTATGGTCCTTTCAGGTAATTCAGTCATCTTGGGAATATTAGTTATCCAATTTCTTCCAATTAGATTTTTGGTATATCCTTTTGTAATTATGAGAGGTAGTTCTAATGTTCGCCCTTTATATTGTACTTTTACTACAATTTGACCTAATAGTGGTATATTGGTTCCTCTATAGCTTTTAAGTTTTAGCATGCAATTTGTTAATTCAGGATGATTAAGTTTATTTTTCCAATCTATTTCATTAATTATACTGACTCCAGCTCCAGTATCCAATTCCATTCTTATATCGCTGTTGTTTATTTTGACATCCACCCAAAATTCTGAATTATATTCGTTTGTTTTATTATTAATAAAATTTACTATTTCTTTTCTACAGACTCGAGCATGTGCCCAATTTTGTTGCATTTATAACAAGTGGCATTCTTAAAAAGACAATTCCCTTCTGTGATTTCCGCCACAGGAGTGACATGGATTTGGTTTTTTTTAGCTCGCATTAAAATTATTATATGATTTTGATTGTTTATCATTATCATTATTATCTTTTTTAATTTATTTATATTATCATTATGTTCCTCTTCTTAATGATCGATTTTAGTTTCAACATTTTGTATTAATTTTGTATTTTTTATTGCTGTTTCTACTGCAGTAGCTTTCTGCTGAATAGCTTTATTTATGTCTATGTAGTCTTCGGATAGTAATCTTTGTAAAATTTTTGGATTTTTTATTTCGAATATAAATTTATCTCTTAATGCAGTATTTAAATGTTCCCCAAAATCACAAGTCGTTGCTAATTTTCGTAGATTTTGTATATAGTCTATTAGTTTTTCATCATTTTGTTGATTATATTGATAAAATATATATCTCTCTACTATTATATTAGTTTTGGGATGAAAATGTTTGATTAAAATATTATGTATTTCTAATACCTCTTTTCCCGGACTACCAGGTGCACATAAATTTACCAGTATTTTGTAAGTATTACACCCTATTGTTGTTAATAACAGAGATTTTTCTTGTGATGATGTTAAACTTGGTTGTGTGTTTTTAAATTCTTGAAATAAGTTGTACCAATCTTTGTAACACAGGTTTGAATCCGTTAGACTTATCGACTGCGCTATTTTTGTATTGTAATATTGTAGTAAATTATCGAATTCTTTTTATTCTTTTATTTCGTATACAAAATCATCATCATCATTTATTATTCAAATTAATCTCAAATTATATAATAATAATAAAATTTTTACAAAAAATAACAAAAACAACAATTTAATACACATCAAATTTTATAACCGATCCCATATATAAAGATAAAGATAATTCAAAGTTCATTTGGGGATTTACCGTCACCAATCATCCAGATTGTCTTAAACAAGACC